CTGACTCGTAGTCGACAACAGGGTAGCCTTTCTCCTCGAGCTCGCGGCCGACGGAATCAGAGACAGTGCTAGATCCCTACGACCGGCCTCTGAAGGTACCGGATAGGGTCGATCTAGGCGTATCTCTGATGTCGATATCCGGCGGCTTGTCTTGGCGTATGTAGGCTTCTATGTTGATTGTGTTGGGAGTTGATTGTCTCGTGGTGGGTCTCGATCGTGGTGACCGTGTTGATTGTGTTGGTTCTCCCTGGTAAGTGTCCGCCCTCTTCCCCTCCTAGGGGGTCTTGTATTTATACCCATAGGTGTCCCCTTGTCCAAGTAGAACTAGGGAAACCAATATGGATACAATCCGAATAGTCCTTGTCGTTTCCATGAAGAACTCTGGTTGTCTTTCCTTATCATAACTCCTCCTATATCCGAAGGTTGTTTCCGTATAGGACATGGTATGTGGTGGGTCCTGCCGAGATGTAGTCAACTACTATTAGGTATTTTGTATCCATAACCCTGACAGTAACCCCCGACTTCAATGCAAATGAACGAATTCATATTCTCAACCACGCGCAGACCTTGGAGTAACTGTTATCTAGCTCATGTGACCGTTCTCGGTGAGTTCAGAGATAACGTTAGACTTCCTTTGTCAGCCTCGTGCGGGTACCTAAAGGGTTTGTCTTAGTCAATCTCTGATGTCAACCAAGAAAGTACAGAGTGTACGACTAAGTCTCATGTCTTGCTGTAATCGAGAATTTGGATTGAAGTCAAGAAATTCTATCTCGGCGGGTACACCATCTCTTCATTCCGTATTCCTTGTCGAGATCCAGCAACCGTTCTCGAGCGATCGAGAAGGCGTAGAGTCTGCGAAGGAGCTTTGTCTTGGTGTAGAACCATAGAGACATGGAGTGTTCGTCAATGTCGAATAGAATTTTCCTGAAATCAATACTCAGAAAAGAATATCAAATAGAAATAGCCCCCGAGCGAATGCCCAAAGGGTGACATGTTATAATATGTATGGTAAATTGAAAATGAATTAAATTTACCGACCAATGTTTTGTGTATGAGCGTCTTCTCTCTTACTGACTTCGATCAGTCAGTTTGTAGAGTCATACACTCTCCCTAGCCCCCAGCCTTGTCGTCGGAGAATCGTTCTCGGAGGATAAGGCTCTTGGACCCTTGACCTGCCTTGGTTGAATAAGCACTGATCCTAACCCCCAGCCGTGAAGTTGGAAAAGTCAATTTCCGATTACACGGCTTGGTTAATACGCACGGCGAGAACTCTTACACGACCAGATCTTACATGGTCTTTTGTCTCTACAGGATCCGACAAGGCCTTATCGGCTCTGAGCATCCCCAGCCGAAGTTCCCTTAGGTTCCTCGGAGGCCTTGTCAAGAGGGCGTAAAGGGACAGTAGGATAGGTTTCAACACTAGGTGTCGTCGTGGTAAGGGATCTCTGGGTAAAACACTTAGCGATATTGTGTACCTGCTATCAACTTTGTTGAAATAGAGGTAGTAGGAGAGTCGCTACACCGCTGGTCGAGGACCAGGCAGTAGTCGTAACTCGACCACTAGAAGTGGAAATAGTGGGAGAAACGCTACATCGCTAGTCGAGAATCAAGCAGTAGTCGTAACTCGACCACTTAAAGTGGAAGTAGTGGGAGAAACGCTGCATCACTGGTCGAGGACCAGGCAGTAGTCATAACTCGACCACTTGAAGTGGAAATAGTGGGAGAAACGCTACATCGCTGGTCGAGTACCAGACAGTAGTCGTAACTCGACCACTTAAAGTGGAAGTAGCCGGAGAAACGCTACATCGCTGGTCGAGGACCAGGCAGTAGTCGTAACTCGACCACTCAAGGTGGAAGTAGCCGGAGAAACGCTACATCGCTGGTCGAGGACCAGGCAGTAGTCGTAACTCGACCACTCAAGGTGGAAGTAGCCGGAGAAACGCTACATCGCTGGTCGAGGACCAGGCAGTAGTCGTAACTCGACCACTTAAAGTGGAAGTAGTCGGAGAGACGCTACATCGCTGGTCGAGGACCAGGCTGTAGTCGTAACTCGACCACTTAAAGTGGAAGTAGCCGACCACTTGAAGCAAATGTACGAGAGATCACTACGATCAACTGGTTGAGAACCGGTGAGTAGGTGTCCCTCGATCATTTGGAGTCGTGGTACGAGGACCGCTACGCTGCCGGTCAAAGACCAGTCGTAGCTGTTCCTCAACCATCTGAAGTCATGGTGCGAGGACCGCTACGCTGTTGTAGTCGTACCTTGACCATCTGAAGTTAAGCGAGAACCAGTGAGCGAGCGGAATTATCTCTCAAACACCAATGGAAGTTGCGGTGCGAGAGATTGCTACGTATTGGTGCGAAAACCAGTGAGCGAGCGGAATTATCTCTCGAACACCAATGGAAGTGCTAGAGTTGGTTTATTGCATGTGTATCTCATGTGGCCAGCATGACTCACGTACCCAACTTATAGCATATCCAGATGTCCGTTCGCAATCATGTCGGGTGATCAAGCTGACGACGTTCGCGAGGAATTATCCGTTAACAACCTTTTCTCGACTAGTCCAGCCATGGCCGGTGCTATGAGATAGGTCGTCGGTCTTCGTTGGTAGGTTGGGTGCGATAACTCCGCATTTGTCGAGAATGTTCTTGATAATGGAGCGTACTCGACCACAACCTACTCGAGTGCTCAGTTGTTCCTGAAAATTATTTTCTAGAAGACAAGACATATAGCAGATAATATCGAGTATGTACTCAAAAACTGCATGGATCTTCTAGCATTATCAGGATATAACGAGCAGATGTAAATATCAGGGCATTATGTAAACCGTAAACAAGCATGATTTATACAGAAGATAACAGAGCGAGCCCCCAGCGTTAGACCGTAGTTGGTTTAACGTCGGAAACATCCGCGCAATAGATATTGTATAAAAAACATGCTCTAGATAAACATAATAAATTATTGATCTGACTATAGGTGTTCGGATTCCACATATATGTATGCGTAACTAGTGATCATGACTCGGACTCAGTCAGCAGCAGTGCATTCATAAACAGGAAAACACCAGTCGAACATACAATTAGTAGCCAAAAGAAATAATACCGATATGAGTAAAATTAAAATTAGAACGGTAAACCTGGTCGTATCAGTAGTCGATTTTTGGCGACGGAAGTCAGTTCACCGTGTAGTCAGCACGAACCGAAGTCCCGTATCTGACGATATTGAATCATTATCCTTCACGGCGACTGTATTTTGGAGCTTGTCCGATCTCGCCGGATCAAATAGTTGATGACGATTATCCAGTCTCGTCGGGAGAGATGTATTCTGGCCGGGTGGATCTCCTCACAGCCGAAGTCGTCGAGTAGCTTGTTGTCGAAGAATCCATCTCTTAAACCTATCTTGTCGAAATCCTGAAGCACCAAAATCCCCCTACCTGGCGCGCCACTGTCGACGTTTGATGTCTCGACTACGGTATTTGAACAGTATGGGGATCGTCGGTGCTAGGATATACGCGAGACTGAGGTAAAAGAGATGGAGACAGGGATTTTTATACAGGTTTGGGCCCCTGAGCAATCAGCTAATAGCCCTACATCCTGTTGGCCGGAGCCGATGTTGCTTTTTATTCACCATAATCACACAAGTACAATATGTGGGGTAGTCTATCTAACTGTTGTCGACATGGCGGTCTGAAGGTCTGACTCGTAGTCGACAACAGGGTAGCCTTTCTCCTCGAGCTCGCGGCCGACGGAATCAGAGACAGTGCTAGATCCCTACGACCGGCCTCTGAAGGTACCGGATAGGGTCGATCTAGGCGTATCTCTGATGTCGATATCCGGCGGCTTGTCTTGGCGTATATAGGCTTCTATGTTGATTGTGTTGGGAGTTGATTGTCTCATGGGGGGTCTCGATCGTGGTGACCGTGTTGATCGCGTTGGTTCTCCCTGGTGGGTGTCCGCCCTCTTCCCCTCCTAGGGGGTCTTGTATTTATACCCATAGGTGTCCCCTTGTCTAAGTAGAACTAGGGAAACCAATATGGATACAATCCGAGTAGTCCTTGTCGTTTCCATGAAGAACTTTTGTTGTCTTTCCTTATCGGAACTCCTCCTATATCCGAAGGTTGTTTCCGTATAGGACATGGTATGTGGTGGGTCCTGCCGAGATGTAGTCAACTACTATTAGGTATGTGGTATCCATAACCCTGACAGCGCCGTCAAATACATTGTTCATCCTATAGCACTTAACGGCACGGAATGGACGTAACCCTAATGGTGATGTCATTTCTGAAATAAAATCGTTTGTACAGTGGCATTTCTTAGAATTCATACTTATCGATGGCATTTCTTAAATTTGGATGCTTGTCAATGACATTTCTTGGATTATCTCTAACTAAATATGTTTGCCTAAGTTTATCGAAAAATTTAGCAACATCTATAACACCAAATTAGTTTAACCAAAACTAACATTCACTATATTCTGATAATATGTTTGTTTTGTATCGAAAATGTTACTATATTTTTTTATAAAGTTACTTAAACTTAAAAATGACTAATGAAAAAAAGTTAAAACGACTTATAATATAAAATGAAGTGAGTAATTTTTAGCTATGATTATGAATGTGTTTGTCCAGATTCATAGCTAAACATATTTATATTTTAAAATAGAGAGAGTATGTGATATGCTATTCCACAAATATGTAAGTTCAAATTCAACCTATACAATTTAAAACAAAAACAATAAATCTGAATAAAAATTACGCGTTCTATTTAAAGGAAATTTTTATTTTGTTTCTTCTTATATAAACTGAATTTAATTTTGCATGCTGGTGAAATTGCATATCACATATTTAACTATCTTACTGTTTTTCAAGAAAAAAATACTTTTTAGGTGGCATGAAAAACGAAGGGACATCCCTCGAGGGATGAATAGACTTTTCTCACATGTAATATTTACCTAAACTTATTATTAATTATACACATCCACGCAGGAGGACCAACTGATGATGATGAACAGTGAATGCAATACGCCGCTACATGAGGCGGTGAAGCAGCGGCGGAGCGCGGTGGCGCTGCGGCTGCTGGAGGTGGAGCCCAACTGCGGGCACACGCCCAACGTGGACATGCAGACGCCGCTGCACATCGCCGCCCGGGAGGGCCTCACCGACGTCGTCGAAAAGATCCTCGACATCCCATGGGTCCCCGAGAAGTTCGTCGCCACAGCCAACGTCCGCGGCACCGCCCTACACCAGGCCGTCCTTGGTGGCCACACCCGTAAGAACTCCTTTGGTTTGTGTTCTTTTTCCCATTTTTTCAACTTTTATTTTCTCATTTTTCAGTTCCCGAACAACTAAACAGTCCATTTTTAAAAAAAAATATTATAGAAAAGCTGTTTTTAAAAATCATATTAATCTATTTTTTAAAAATTTTAGCTAATATTTAATTAATAATATGCTAATCAGATACTCTGTTTTGCGTGCGCGGGAGAGAAGTTCTCAACCTCCTTTCCCGATAGCCGTGCGCGGGAGAGAAGTTCTCAACCTCCTTTCCCGATCGCACACATATGGTTCTTTGGGACCTATAAATATAGAGAAAATTTTCTTCTATGCCTTTAAAATTTGTAGTTGTTTCCTTCTATGCCCCTCAATTTTCATCACTCTCTTGCATAACCCTGAATTTTAATTTTGATTCCTTTCATACTTAACCGCGGTGTAAAAGAAGTTACTTTTGCCATTAGATGTGCAAGGAATATGCAGAAGTTTGTTAAATCTATTGTTAGAAATGTAGTAATTTGTTGTGTGACACTATGATATTCATATGCTTGTTGTATGGGAAGTATGATGCATAGAAATTTTAATATATATTAAAGTGTGTGTAGCATGTAAACATTGTTTTGGTTAGCATTCCTTTATATAATATATACTCTCTCTATCTACTCTTGATAGTCATATTTCATCTTAGTACACAGATCAAGGATAAGTAATTCTACTTATCATCCATTTAAACATGCTACTAGTCATTCCTTGTAAACAAACGATTCATTAATATTTACATTTCTCGATGCCTATGTATCCAATCTTGTGTGGAAGAATAGAGAGTCACGCATTAAATGCGAGAAAGTCATTAAGATGATAGGTTGTTGGATTCAAATATACCTATCAAAAATAATTTTTTTAAATTTAGAAATATGACTATTAAAAGTAGATGGAGGGAGTACAAAGGTGGACATATCTGTTGCAGTTCTGTCATAAAATTATGCTACATATACTCTATGGATAAATAAATAAAATATATTTTGTCATTATGTAAAAGTTAACTTTCTGAATACTAATACCTTTGTACAATAAAGTCATAAATACAATAGTCTTATATACTCCCTCCGTCTCAAAATATAATAATTTTTAGCCCTCAAGATTTGTACCAAAATATAACAACTTCTCCACCAATATTTTCTTCCCAACCAATCACAACCCTCCACCATTCACTTTTCCCACCTACCTCCACTAATCATCCAATCACAACCCTCCACCACTCACTTCTATCTACTTTCTTAATAACCGTGTCTAACCCTAAAACTTCTTATATTCTGGGACAGAGGGAGTAATTAAGTTCCATATCCAACAATATAGTCTACAAAATTCCACATTTCCTTTATGCCTAAGGGTGGATCTTTCTATAAGAACTAACTAGACAACTAAGAGAATGGGTATGAAATGGATCAAAACCAAAATTCAAGAGCTATAAGAGAGTGAGCAAAACTCGAGGGACGTAGAAGGGATCGGCTAAACTTTCATGGGCATAGGGGAATTCTTTCGTGAATATAATGAAAATTAAACATATGAATAGAAAAATATGATAGCTTTGAACAGTAATGTGTGTGCAAAATGAGGATTTAAAAACAACTGGGACATATAAAAATGGTGCCTGATTGGTATGAAACATAAAAATATTGAGTACTTCCTCCGTTTCACAATGTAAGTTATTCTATCATTTTCCACATTCATATTGATATTAATGAATCTAAATAGATATATATGTCTAGATTCATTAACATCAATATGAATGTGGAAAATACTAAAATGACTTACATTGTGAAACGGAGGGAGTATAAGTTAGCGATAAAACTCATACTTGTAGTTTAATCCATGCAACTCGAAGCATTTCACGAGCAAAGATCCTTTTATGGTGCTCCTTCTTACCTCCAAAGAGCTAAGATGATACAATAGATTTTAACAGTTGATTATTCATTTTTTTTCGAAACAAAAATATTTTCTCATTGATATTAATATATCACAGCATATGAGGAAATATGATTAAATGTCATAATTACCCTTCCAAACTTAATAATGCATGCATGTAGGCATGCACACATGCTAGCTAGAAATTATGGTGCTAATTTGTTTTATATGGAGTAATGGAGACATGCATACCAATTTAATTTCAAAGTTGTGACAGTATATGAAACCACCCGAAAATACATTCAAACATCAAGCATCACAAAAACTCTTCTGCAGAAATTTAATTTAAAAAGTACAAATTGGCTTTTTTTTGTCTCTATGCTGATGTTTTCATATCTGATTTGAAAATTGCATTTTATTCTGATTTTATTTTTAAAAAATACAATTTAGATTTTATTCTAAATTTACCATTTAGAATCTAAAACATAATATGTACACTATATATATTTTAAAGAGTAAATTTCACAAAACCTAAGGTTTCGAGGCATGTGTAACGCAAAACCCAAAATATTGTGATTTATTTCAAGAAACCCAACATTTTGGGACAAAATATTTCAAGGAACCCCATTTATGTAAATTACTCATTTTACATATAATATATAGTACTTTAAATTATATGTTCTAAGTGTGCTCAAAATGTGCATCCCTCCCACCCCAGTTTATCTATTTCCTCACCCACTATGCATGATTGCAAAAAGTCAACACAATCCTCAATATAAATGGTAGGTCAACTAGTTGCCTAATTAAAAAAAAGGTTATACTATTCATAACTCACATATGTTGAAACAGTGGCTACTGTGTATGTACACTTAAAAATACCACATACTATTTTTTCACAATTTATTATGCATAAATATATTAGCCAAATAGACAATGTAAGCTTGAACGTAGGGTTCATTAAAACATTTTGCCTCAAAACATAAGGCTTCGTGAAACAAATCGTAATACATGGGATTTTACGTTATGCATGCCCCAAAACCTAGGATTCTATTAAATTTACTCTTTTTTATAAGGTGCTCAAGTTTGTTTGGACATAGTTGATGTAATCTATTGGCTTATATAATAATAAAGAAAATTTATTTGCCTTAGAATTAAAAGGTAATAGTTGTTAATAATGTTAGTGGAGTAATTAGTAAAATCACTAAATTTCATAAAGCCCAAGGTTTCGAGATATCCGTAACGTAATAGCCCATATATTGGATTTGTTTCAAAAATCCCATATTTTAGGGCAAAATATTTCAAGATGCCCCATATTTATGTAAAAAAAAAGCTCATATTCCATTGTTATACATGATATTTGCAAAACAAATTCATATTAGTAGATTCAAAGTACAAGTCCCTCTTATGTACTTTATTTTATTTCTCACTTTTTGCATTACACTATTGAAAAAGCTCAACATAATTCCCTACCGATAATGACACATTAACTAGTTAATACACACAAATAATCAAACTATCGATAACCAACACTTGTTAAAAATGTACCAGCTAATGTGTATATGTACTTAAAAGAAATTTTATTACCATTAATATGAATAAATATATTTGTCAAACAGACGATATAAGCTTGTAATCAGGATTCTACGTAACATTTTTGCCTCAAAACTCAGGGTTTAATGAAACAAATTGCAATACCTAGGGATTTACGTTACAAATGCCTCAGAACTTAGAGTTTTATGAAATTTTACTCTAAAAGGGATGTCTACATTGAGGCCCCGTTTGGTAGGGCTTCAAACTCCAACTCCTAACTCCAAACTCCTACTCTAGTGGGAGCTAGCTCTTATTGGAGTTGGAGACTCGTTGAGAAGTGTTTGGCTAGTTTTCAGCTCTAGATCTGAAAAAAAATTGAAAAAAAAAATAAATTGCAAAAAGAGTTGAAAAAAAAAAGGAAACCTAGCCGCCGGCAGCCCAATCCCAGGGCGTCGCCCGCCGACGGTGGCGCGTCGTCGCCGCGTGCCCCGCCCGTCGATGGCCGGCGCCTCCCGCGCGTCGTCACCGCGTGCCCCGCCCGCCGCCGGCCGGACGCCTCCCGCGCGTCGTCGCAGCGCGTGCCGCCCACTGCCCGACGGCCGCTGCCCGCTAGCTCGCTGACCACCGCCCGCGTGTCGTCCTGTCGCCCTGCTACCGCCGTGTGCCTGCCGCCGCCGCCGCCGCCTGCTAGCTCGCCGCCCGCCGCCCGCGCGTCGTCCCGCCGCGGGATAGCACCGACCGGAGTGCCACCGCCACGCCCTCCACCGCGGCAACCGACGCCATCGCCCCCAATCCCTCTTCCTCCTCCGCCGTCGTGGCCGACGCCGCCCACCACCGCCCGCCGCAGCTATTGGGACTCGGGAGAAAGATGGGGGAGGAGAGAGAACGGGAGGAGAGGAGGTGGGTAGGTGTAGTTTAATGGCATTTTTATGTAAATACACTAAAAAATTAAAGGGCAGTGGGTCTTTTGGGGTGGAGTGGAGCTGTGGAGCAGTAAAAACCCAGCTCCACCCCGTAGTATAATTTTGTGGAGCAGCTCTCCCAACTCCGCTCCTAAAAACGGAGGATCTGGAATGTTTGGCACAACTCCAGTTCCAGGTAAGTTGGAGTTGAGAGCTGGAGCTGTGCCAAACGGGGCCTGAGTACTTGCCTCGATTCTACGGTAGGAATAGAAAAATAGCTTTTTAGGCCTTTTTTTCTCCAATGAAATTCCTTTTTTTAGCAAAACTGTGAAATTCCTTTTGAAAATTAACATAGGGGAAGGAAATTTTCGTATGCTTCTCGTCTGCTCCAATTCTGCGCAAGCCAAATGAATGAACAGTGAACATTTCAATAGGATATCTTATTCCTACGTTTTTTCCCCCATTTTTTAATTTACCGTTCAAAGGAGGCCTTAATATATATTCTTCTTTTCCCGGGTTAGCTTCTTTTAGAAAATGTGTGGTTTTATTTGGCATTGTGATCCTCATGCATACATGTGAACAAACAAATGCTGAATTTAAACCAAACTTGGAGAAAATTTAAGCCTTGGATATATATATATACACACATGTGGAGCAGGGGTGGTGGAGATATTGCTGATAAGGACGGCGCCGGATCTGATCGACATCACGGACTCGGCCGGCAGCACGGCGCTGCACTACGCCGCGCAGAAGAACGACACGCGCATGGTGAGTATGCTGCTCGACCTCAAGCCTGAACTGGCCAGCCGGCCCAACGACCGGCAGCAGTCGGCGCTGCACGTCGCCGCCGTAAACGGCTCGATCGCGGCGGCGACGGAGATACTGCAGCACAGCCCCGATGCGGCGGAGAGTAAGGACAAGGACGGGAGGAACGCGGTCCATGTCGCCGTGTCCAATGTGGACACGCTCAGGGGCCTCCTCAAGGTGATCGGCCCGGCGGAGGTGATCAACCAGGGGGACAGCGCCGGCAACACGCCGCTGCACCTCGCCGCCAAGATGGCGCACGTCCAGTCAACGCTGACGCTGCTCAAGGACCCCCGCGTCAACCCCTGCCTCCTCAACCGGGACGGCCACACCGCGCGCAGCCTCGTCGAGGAGCGTCTCGCCGTCGGCGAGATGGACGCCTACGTCGTCTACCTCTGGGAGAAGCTCAAGAAGCAAGAGGAGTCCCGGTGCAAGAACCTGCAGCACCTCCCGCCGGTGGCGACGTACCAGTCGCTGCGCAGGCGCAGCCACAGGTCAGCTGGCTCCGGCAACGGTGACTACTTCGAGCTCGGCGTCGGCACCTACACCCTCGTGGCCACTCTCATCGCCACCGTCACCTTCGCCGCCACCTTCACCATGCCCGGCGGCTACAACCAGACCTCCGGCCTCGCCATCCACGCCGACCGCGCGGCGTTCGACATCTTCCTTGTCTCCAACACCGTCGCCATGTGCAGCTCCATCACCGTCGTCTTCTGCTTCATCTGGGCGTGGCGCGACCCCGTCAAGTTCAACCTCGAACACCTGAGGTGGGTACACATGCTCACCGTCATAGCCTGCCTTGCCATGATCGTCTCCCTCATGACCTCCGTCTACCAAGAGGTGGCCGGCGTACCTGGTGATCACCATCGGCGCCTGCACTCCGGTCGTCGTGATACTCATATTAGGGAAGGAGGCTTTCTACATACCGTTTGTTCAGAAGACACTGCTACCGGTTGACGTCAAGTCTCACAACAGTAATGGAGACATACAGATATAGGAATTAATTAATGGGACTCATGCAATCACTCGACAGATCGATGTCACCTTATTTCTTACATGTCACAGTTACACGAAAATTTGACAAATAATACACGGTTTGACTCATACAAGTTGTAACAAAAATAATAAATACTAGATGAAACCCCTACGCGTTGCTGCAGAAGTTTGGTATGATAATAATAAATAGAAATAATATGTAAGACAGTTAGACGATATATAGAAACTTGTATAAGTTGATGTGGTTTATCATAATTTAAATAGTATATAAAATGATGATCTAAATGTAAAAGTAATATAATGTGGCTTTATGAGATAAGAAAATGAGAGAGATAATTCCCACCGTAGGTTAATCATTTGATGGTTAGAAACAATTGAGGTGGTATGGCTTAATGAGAGAAGAGAGAAGTAACATTAATTAGGTGAGGATGAATTGTGTAGTAATATAGATATTATAAAAAATTATGGAAAAATATATCGAAATATATTGGGAATTATGTAGAATGATGATTTAACATGCTTGGATTTTTAAAGCTCTAAAATTTAAGTGAGGATGAACTATACAGAGGATATTATAAAAAAATAATAGAGATATATATTGAAATATTATGTGATTATGTGGGTTGATAATTTAATTAACATGTTTACATTTTAAAGCTCTGGAAGTTAATAAATTAGCATGCTTGCATGAGATTTGAGATGTCATAATTATTAGTGGATGATGTGATATATTCGCATGTTGAACTTTAGAATTTAGTGGGCCTTAACTTTATAGAAAGATAGGATAGCTATGAGCACATGTATCTATATTAGTTATGGACACGATTACACTGTGCACGGTCGCTGGTTTGGCTAAACCACAGACAACTTCATCCCACGTGACGTATAAATCCTCCTTTACCACCTTAAAATAGCAACAAGCACTTATATAGATTGGTCACTGACGTATCTTTCTTTTAAATCTATTTGATGACTTATATGTTTTAAACCGTATATTATTTTTAAGATCTTTTTCACCATTGTACTTCGCTCAAAATATGTGACAAAAAAGATTCAATTTTAAATATAATTCAATTTAATCTAAAAGTAATTTATTAAATCATAAAAATAACTTAGCTATACAATAGAATTAACTCTTTATAGCATTAGACGTAATTACATTACGACGAGTTGAAAATAAGAAATTAAGTGGAGTAAATCCATAAGTGTAGAGAAGATTTTCAAGTAAATACATAGTATTTATTTAAAGTAATCACTATATTATTTTTTAAAAAATAAAATCTTGCGTCATATAGAAAATAACTCTTCACGATATTAAAAATAATTGCACTACCGGAGGGAAGTAACTTTTAAAGAAATAGAAGTCACTCTTCGTAATATTAAAAGGAAATACACTCCTAGAGGGAAGTAAATATAAATAGAAATAGAAATAATTCTTCAAGATATTAGAAGTAATTGTACTGTAGCGAATTAACTCCACATGGCGTTAGAAGGGCAAAATTTGCTACAGGACATTCAAAAAATGTGTAATTAGCTAAGGAATATAACAAGATTGTGAAACGGCTAAAAGACACTCAAAGAAGGTGTAATTTGCTAGTGGACACTATAAGCAATAAAATAATATATACATCGGGTTGAGGAGAGAGAAGTCATGTGAAGTGCCAATTTTGCCCTTCTCTTTTTTCACTTCTTCACCCTTGTTCCTGCTGCTTGTTTAGCATGATGATGATTTGCTTGCACCTGCTGGTTGCTAGCTGCTGCTTGCTTAACGTGATCACCGCATATGCCAGCGGCGCTGCTTGAGTGGTCCTAGCGACCTAGCATAATACACGTGGCACATGTGGTGAGCAGCTTGTGGTCGAAGCACATCCGAGTCCCGATACAGGTGCGGCGTCTCCGTCGGCGGCAACAGCGCCTCGGCGGAGGCACGGGCAATGCTCGCCAGGCTGAGCACTACGCCGCCACATCGGAGCCTCGGAGGTACATGACCTGAACCAGCATCAGCAGTTCAGCACGCATGGCAAGTCTGGCGTCGGCGAACAAGTCGTGTAGCTCACGGCGTGGCGCGGCACGGCACAAACCCTCACCGGTATAGTCGATTTGGATGTGGCCAGCTCCATCGACGCCAAGCTGGCCGGCGAACGGGTAGAACGCCACAAGCGCCTTAGTGAGGCTGTATTTCACGTCTCGCCTGTGAAGAAGTTCCTTATCGCCATTGGGCCAGTGTGTGACCTGCACCAGCAGCAGCACGCATAGCGGGCACGAGCGCACGACCGTGGTGATCCATTGCATCGAGGGAGCCATCATCATCGAATGCATGCCGGTGCTCGTCACCACCGCAGACGACAACTACTCGTTGTTGTTCAGCGACATGGCTTGAGAGTCCACCGCCTTCCGCTATTGTTCGCCACCGGTCAAGGCCATTGCCGTGGAAGTCGTCGCCACCTCCCTCAAAGCTATGTCTGCCTGTCAGCCCTGAGGGTAATCTGGTCCTTTTGAATTGTTTCTCTCTCCATTCAGCCCAAAAATAATAAAATAATGGTGAAAGTGTCCAACAGCTAATTACACATTTTTTAGAGTGTCTCTTAGCCGTTTCACGATCTTACGATATCCCTCGGCTAATTACATGTTTTTTTGGATGTCTGTAACAAATTTTGCCTAGAAGTAACTATATTGCTGTAAGGAAGTAACTCTTCACATTATTGGAAGTAACTATGCTTTTAGAGTTAAAAAATAAATAACTTAAATATATTTGATATTAGACTTATTTTATCACATATTTTAAGTAGAGTATGATGGTTCAAGTGGATCTTTAAAATAATATAGAGTCTAAAAAATATAGGTCATCATAGATTCTATAAGAAAAAAGAAAATATAGTAGTGTAACGACATCTTAGCCTCAGCAACATGCACTTGACGTGAATCACATGATAACTAACAGATAATATGTTATCCTTTTTTCCTGGTAAGTGGTCTCATTTCTCTGTCTCTTGGTCAGTACAACATACACGTTTTCGTATCTCAGCTATCATCAACTAATCGGTCAGTTGTTAACGCCAAAATTTGGTAAGCCCGAAGTTATTATCGGCCTAAAGTCAGTATCGGCTTTAGAGTCCTGGAATCGGCCAATGAGAATTATCAAGTCGCCAATAGCCGGATTCTTGTTATATTCGATTAAGAAAATTAATCTATTAAAGAAAGTTTATCCAGAAGTGACCGAGTTCAAGGAGGATGCGGCATGGCAGTTTATCTATTAATTAGGCAGTATTTGTTAGTTTCCTTTTATCTTTAGGAAAATGTATTTAGTGTCCAATAAGGACTTTATGTTTTCCTTTTATCTTTAGAAAAGTTTCTTTCTTGTTCGACAAGGACTAGTATCTCCCTATGGGTATAAATATGTACACCTGGGGTCACTGTAAAATATCTCTCGATCAATACAACTACTCTCGGAGCATCGCCACCCTCTTTTCTGTGGTTTTACTTATCAACCGGCGTAATTTGGCACCTGACATGGGGCTGCATCGGTTCAGTTCTGTTGATGGTTCGATCTCCAGCGAAGGGATAAATCCTACGTTCCGCCGGCCCTGGTGAATCTATCGGCTACGTTAGTGTTGTTCAAGGCTACATCGCTTCGATCTCTTGGATCGCTCTGGTTTGGTTGATATATTTGCCTACCTGATATCTCAATTCTATCTATAATTGCATTGTGTTTAGAGAAGCATCGGTTTAGTTGGAACTGTCTCGGTTAGATCCGATCTTCTGTCTTAGCCGATATATCTCTACAATCACAATGTTGTTGTAAATAGATTTGTTATATCCATCACATTAGACAGATCTATTGGCTCATCGAGTATTAGATTATCATATACAATCTCATGCTGCATCGGTTAAGTTCGACCTACTAGATTTTTGTTGATAATATAAATCTTGTTAAGCCGATAGGTTCATGCTAATGTTTTATCGGGGTGCTAGCCGATAAGTTATCTGGACGTTGCATCGGCTTATAAGGATTGCATATACATATAAGTTGGATTTAGCCGATGGCAACAAAGGTTTCATTGATTTATCTAATATTGTATGCTTTGACCATAGGATTAGTACTTGTTATATCATATCATATTGTTAGCCGATTGATTTCTACTGGATTATATTATTTTTATATCTTATTATCACCAGCTGACTGCCTTTATATCATTATTTACACTGGACATATTGCCGATAGCTCAAAACCCTATCGCTATCGGCTGGCATCGGCATCGGCATCGGCTAGAACTACTCCATCGGCTTGACAGCCGATCGGCTCTGCTGTTTACATATCTTATCAGTTACTGGATCAAACTGACTAGCACGCCCACACCTCATCAAGATTTGGACCTGCACTGGAGCTAAGCAGTTCTCCCAGACCCAATGTGTGTTTTTCGCATCAACATAAGTATAACTACTTTTAATGCTATAGGTAGTTACTTCTGTTGCAGAACTAACTTATTTCTACGATTTAAGTAAATTAATTTAAATATTTGAATATATTTAATGTTAGACTCGTTTTATCGTATTTTTTGAGTAGAGAATAATGGTACAAATGAAAGTGAAAAATAATGTATGGTTTAAAATATATAAGTCATCAAATGTATTGTTAAAAAGAAAGATTAGGATAGTGTAACCTATCTTTAATTTTGATGGTTGGTGGTGTGCAGGTTCCTCGCTTTGATGCCATTGAAGTGGAAGGCTTCTTGTCTTTTCGATAGCACGTAGACGCGGATGGACGGCTGTCGGGGGCGGCTAATGGGCGGATGATCGCTCATCCCCTATATAGGTACTCTCTTCCTTTCTATTTCCCTTCTTCTCTTCTTACTACACCATAAATTTTTAAAAAATAAAAAACACAAAGTTGAAAAAAATTATGTATAGAAATACTATATATAAAAAATTTAAATTTAAATTCAAATTTAAAACGGGTATGT